GAGAAAGAGAGAGTATGTGTGAGAGACAATTATGAAAAGGCAAATGGAGTGACAAAGAGGGTGAAGTGGTAAAGAGAGGCAAGGAGAAGAAAGAGAAGAGAAGAGAGAGAGGGGAGAGAGAAAAAAAGAGAGAGAGAGAGAGAGAGGCAATTATACATGAGGGCAAGTGGTAAAAAGAGGCAAGGAGAAGAAAGAGAAGACAGGGAGAGAGACAAAAAAAAAGAGAGAAAGAGAGAGTATGTGTGAGAGACAATTATGAAAGGCAAATGGTGGAGAAAGAGGGTGAGAGTGGTAAAGAGAGGCAAGGAGAAGAAAGAGAAAGAGAGAGAGAGAGAGAGAGGGAGAGAGACAAAAAAGAGAGAGAGAGAGAGGAACAATTATACATGAGGGCAAGTGGTAAAAAGAGGCAAGGAGAAGAAAGAGAAGACAGGGAGGAGACAAAAAAAAAGAGAGAGAAAAAGAGAGTATGTGTGAGAGACATTATGAAAGGCAAATGGAGTGAGAAGAGGGTGAGAGTGGTAAAGAGGCAGGCGAAGGAAAGAGAAGAAGAGAGAAGAGTGGGGAGAAACACAAAGACAGAGAGAGAGAAAGAGAAAATTTATGGAAAGGGTAATACAGTGATAGACAGAGGGCGAGTGGCAAAAAGAGGCAAAGAGAAGAGACAGAGAGAGAGAGAGAGAGAGAGAGCCAGAGAAAGTGAATGACAATTATGAAAGGCAAATAAGAGAGGAGTTTGAACGGCAATTAAAAGAAGCAAGGAGAAGACAAAGTAAAAGAGAGGGAGAAAGACAACACACAGAGAGAAGAGAGAGAGAGACACACACACTTATAAAAGGCAAATGGTAAAGAGAGTCAAGGAGAAGAAAGAGAAAAAGAGAGACAGAGGAAGAGAGACAGAGAGAAAAAGAGAGAGGCAATTATGAAAAGGCATATAAAGTGAGAGACGGAGTGGTGAGTGGCAAAAAAAAGGCAAAGGAGAAAGCTAAAAACAGAGGGAGAGAGACCAAAGACAGAGAGAGAGAGAGAGAGAGGAAAAACCAGTTGCAACTGGTCCAGTTAAAACCAGTTAAAGCCAACTGGTAACCCTGGAAATTGAAATGGGCCAGTTAACCAGACCATTTGAATTTTGACTGGACCATTAGAATTCAACTGGTCAAATTCTAACTGGTCCAGTTGGAATTCGACTGGCCCATTTCAATTTCCAGGGTTACGAGTTGGATTTAACTGGTCTAACTGGCCATTCACTGCCAATTGCAAACTTAATTATTAATTAAGGCATAAGTAGCACTTGTACTAATTAATTTTGCCAATTGGCAACAACCAAGACTAGATCGTCTGCAATTTCCAATGTAAAGGCATTGGTAATAAGTAGACTTGTTAACTGACTATTTTGAATATTTTGTATTTTATCAAATCTATTTTAGTTCATATAGTTAATGTTTTCCCTAATTTAATGTTTAATTAAATTTATTTACACGAAGTAATGAATGGCCTATCATTGGCAATTTGTATTTGTAGTATTTTAGAAATGAATTGCCAACATAACTAAATCATCAGTATTTAAGGAATGCTGTAATTCATAAATTGTTTGAAACATAGATGTGGCACGCACCCCATATCCATTATGCAAATTAACTGGTGTCACACTGAAATATGCACACGAACCAGTTAGAATTTGACCAGTTGGAATTCACTGGTCATTCTAACTGGTCCAGTTTGTATTTCAACTGGTCAGATTTTTAACTGGTCCAGTTGTATTTCAACTGTCAGATTTTTAACTGGTCCAGTTGGAATTCAACTGGTCAAATTCTAACTGGTCCAGTGGCATTCAACTGGTCAAATTCCTAACTGGTCCAGTTGGCATTCAACACTGGTCAAATTCTAACTGGTCCAGTTGGAATTAACAGACCAGTTATCAACTGGCGTAACAGACCAGTTATCAACTAGTGCAACTGGAAATATGCCATGCACAGATCAGTTTCAACTGGTGCAACTGGAAGTATGCAAACAGACCAGTTATCACTGGTGTAACTGGTCATTATAAGGACTGGTTCCGTTAATGAAATGCAGTCGCACCAAATATCTCCGCTTGATGTGCATTCATGGACCAGTTAGAATCAACTGGAACCAGTTGAATCTAACTGGTTCCAGTTGAAGTTTAACTGGAACCAGTTTGGAATTTTCAACTGGTGGTAACTGATTTTTTCCTTCGGGGGGGGGGGGGGGGGATGAGACAATTATGAAAAGAAATAGAGTAGACAAAGGGTGAGAGTGGCAAAGAGAGGCAAGGAGAAGAAGAGAAAGAGAGAGAGAGAGAGAGATTTGGGGGGGGGGTAGAGAGAGGGAAATAAAAAGGATTTCAATTAGATAATTAGATGTAATGATGGATGTAATAGTGGACAAATGTAATACACTTCCAAATCAAATCAAATACAGGTATATGAAAAACAGTTTATGCAACATTCAATAATAACCAGTCAATCCATATAAATTTCCCCATCATCTATGATGAAGAATATTTTGTTTCAGAGCATAATATGCACTTTAAAGGCCTGTCTTCATCAGCTTGAGTTTGCCAAATATTTCCCGAAGCTCAAAATTGTGTCTTCACCAGACCGTTACGCTCAGCCAAACCTAGCAACGACGTGTGCACACTTAAGCCCACTATTTTTCCTAATTATGGGATATTTAGGAAACAAGACCAAGATTTTCTCCGATATTTCTCGACCAATCTCCCGCTAATTGCAACTGCGGGCTGATGAAGACCCAAGTGACTGGTTAATTGCAATCAGGATAATTAAATACTGGGTTATTTGGCAAACTCGAGCTGATTAAAGTAATACAAGTTTTGGTATTGGGTCATGAATTTGGTTCAAATGACATATTGGAAGTTATGCGTACTACAATATTCAGTGATCGTTGTCGCGGTTGAATCGAGTTTAAAGTTATGAAATTGTTATAATAAACTATTTATGTTGTATAGCTCCCTCTCACGGTCAATATATTAATTAAGCTAAAAAAAATGTTTCTTGAAAAATCGACCGATAAGCTCTTCCTGTTTGGAAATTATATATCACGACTACATATTCTGAGATTTTCATGGTCGCAGCTAACATACGGCCGTACGGCCCGTAGCCTATTTAAAATTTTTCAAAATTACCACCGGAGAGCACCAGTAATTTTTTATATTCCATTTTTCTCCCTCGCAGCAGAAATGTTTTAGGGGCTAAATTTTCTAGTGCTTATAATACATCTACAGTGGCACAAAAATATATCAAAATTGTAAAGAATCACTATCTACCAATTTTTCGAAATTCCCAAAACTTTGTATTACCTTTAGACGGGCCTACTGACATATCATATACCGTTGCAGTTAAGCTAGGGTCGACCTCTAAGCCTGGATGGACATACCTTATTGTATTGTTCAAAGAGCTGTCGGACGTTCTTGGGTCGTTGATTCATGGCGATGCACGACTGCTGTACCACCCTCTGTTGTTGCTTCAGCATCATCTGGAACAAATTTTTCAACAAAAAAAATCATGATATGCTAGAGGTCTCGTTGTCGAGTGGATATGTCCGGACTGTGGATCACAAGGCCGCCGGTTCAAGTCCCCCGCCGCAGCACTGTCCTTTGGCAAGTCATTGATCTACATTTGCCACTCTCCACCCAGGTGTTAAATGGGTACCTGGTAGGATTTGAAAGTTGTGGTTGGATTAGCAGGTGGCACTTGTAAAATGGTGCCTAGCTGGAATGCTCCCCAGGGAGTGGAAAATGTGCATACATTGTGTTGCGGTTAAGCCTGAATCCGATGACTGGGTAATAATATGTGCTGTGCCTAGAAATAAAGTATTAGGCGCATTATAAATGTGAGCTATTAATATATATTTGCCACTAAATTAAAAAAGCCCCACTGCACTATAGCTACTTGCGCCCTCTATATAGCAAACAATGCCTAAGCGGTGACCATTGGGCCCCCATGGTCTCCTTTTTCCTTATTTTAATTAATTGAGACCTTATTGGATGATTTAATAAACACCTGCCACATAGTGACCCCATGCAGGAGGTTTAATCCCTCCTGGGCCAAACTTATTAAATGATACCAAGCTATATACGGTTAAGACCTATTCAGAATCACCAATAACCTTACAATAATTACAATGATGAATAGCTCACTGTGAATAATACCACTGATATAAGATACAAATGTATGCAAGAGCAGTAGAGGAAGAAAAATTAAAGCAAAATATAACTACACTAAATGATCATGATGATAATGATTACGAGTTATTATATACCTGAAGTTTTCCCTCATTTTCTTTCATCTTCTTCAATCGGAGTCCCATTGGTCCAGTACAGAGGTCAGTTGTTTGGTGTACTCGCCGTGAAGTCTCTGTCTGCATGAAACAGAAAAAAAAAGACACAATTTTGTAATTAAATTCATGGAATTGTATGTACATGTATGTGTTGATAGATCCCCTCCTTAACATCGTATTGGAAAGTACATCTTCAGTTTGTTGCTGTAACACATCCAATGTGATCTAATTGAGACTATAATGTTTAAGTGCAAGAGGGCGCCATAGAACCTTCAATATGACTGAACAAACATACAGCCTGAAAGAGTATGTTGTGTTATTATTCACGACTTCCTCATTTCAACTAACAACCAAAATATCACAGTGAGAAGAGAAAGCCACAGAAAACATGATTATGACTGGAGAAATTGAGGGAAAGATAAGCAGAGGGGAGATGGTACATGAAATACATCTGTAAGTTTCATTTGGCTGACTGCATGGTAGCAGAAGTAATGTCACAATACAAAACCATGCAGATATAGAAGTAGATGGAAAGCCCAGGGGGGGTTTTCACAAAGATCAAGTTGAACTAATCTTAAGTTGGACTTACCAATTATGGAAGCTGTTAGCATCTTTGAAAATATTTTGTAAAAATTATTTTTAAAAGGCATAAAATGTTGATTCAAATCATTCATATTTTCTATTATCATGGGAGATTTCATGTTCTTGATGTGGAATTTATGAAAAGTTTAACATACTTGAATTTTTTGCTTTTGAATATATTTCAAAACAAGGCTATAATGGCTCTCCATAATATTTTAGGTCCAACTTAGAATTAAGTTTGACTTAGGATCTTTGTGAGAACACCACCCAGATCACCAACGTTTGAAACGGCAGTACAAGGCACCTAGCAAGCATGCAAGCATGGCATTGAGACTGAGCAAAATTTAGCAACAACGTGTCTGTTCCACAAAGCACATACTTCTTATACAGTCAAACCTATCTACAGCAACGGTCCAAGGGAAACACAAAGTGGTCTTGTTGTAGACAGGTTCCTTTAATTAGTACATGTTTCAATGAGAAAACCTTTTTCAATTAGAGGGAACAAAAAATGTGCTTGTTGTATAGACAAGTGGTCACTAAAGCAGGTTTGACTGTTAATAAGGAAATAAATAAAATGCTGTCATCCCTCCTCCTCCTCCTCACAATTTTAATTGATAATTATTGTTATCAAAAACCATCAATCATTCTCATCAAGAATTGCATTGTCAAGTTCTCCTTGTTTTCTCTATATTAAAGGTCATTTTCAGGGTTATCAGTTTCACAGTTGATTCAATCAATTTATCATTAATTTGGTTAGCCTCTATTTTCTCCTTCCTTGCTTTTATACAGGATCCCTTCTACAAGTACAGTGACCTGTCTATAAAGAACTACCTAAGGGAGACAAGAAAAGTGGTCTTGATAGGCAGGTGGTCACTAAAGCAGGTTTGACTGTAATACAGCCAAACCTGCTTTAGTGACCTCTGTTACAAAAGGCCACACTTGTTGTTTCCCTTGAACTGTTTCTCATTGAATCATGTACTAAAGAACCTGTCTACAAAGACCACCTGTCTATAAAGGCCACTTTTTGTGTTTCCCTTGGGTGTCGCTATAGACAGGTTTGACTGTATAAGGTTATAGGGTTAGGGTTAGAATTGGGATTTAGTGTTTGGTCCAGGTTACAACTTCAATTTGTGCGGTTTTCAGAAATTACCACGGAACCTTTGTCGTAGGAGAAGGGTTGTTAACCCCTGAATAACTTTAGCAACCTCGCCCCTATCTCCTCCCCCCCCCCCCCATTTTTTTTAATGAGCCTAATAAATACTGTGCAATCATATTTGGTAGTTAGCCCCCCCCCCCCCCCCAGGCTTTTTTGTTTTTGTAATCAGCAATAGATCATTTTAGCAGCGTTTTCCATGTTTTTTTTCTTTTAAAAATATTCAAAATATATTTAAAGAACAAAATTAAATTAAAAAAAAGAAGAAGAAAAAAGGAGGTGGTCTCCAAAAAGAAGCGAGCAGGGACGCTAAACATTAGTGTTACCTCTCGTTTGTTGCATTTTCCAAATCTTTTCCACTTTGACGTTGGTGGATTTGAGGGTCTGCTGGGTTAGCGTCTCAAGACGTTCTTCTTCCCACTCATCGACTTCCTCATGTCGGCTGAAATAAGGGTGAAAGGAGGAAAAAAGGTGAATAAGAAATTAAACAATGTATTCAACCAGGGTGGTGTCTCGCAAAGATCCTAAGTAGAACTTATTTTTTAAGTTGGACTTGTTACCATCTTTGAAAATATTTGTACAGTTTTTTAAAAGGCATAAAATATTGATTCAAATCATTCATATTTTCTATTATCAAGAAGATTTCATGTTCTTGATGTGGAATTTATGAAAAGTTTAAAATACCTGAATTTCTTTTGAATATATATTATTTTAAGGCTACAAATGGCTCTCCATAAGTTTTAAGTCCAACTTAGAGTTAATTTTGACTAAGGATCTTTGTGAAACACCCCTCCCCGGTTACTTATTCTGAGACTTTTTTTTTGGGGGGGGGGTCAACTTTTTAAGGTCATCCATTGGTATACTTTTTTTCTTTTTTTTTAATAAAAAATTAAATAAAAATTTTAAAAAATTGCCAAGGGGGGGGGGGGGGGGGGGGGGGGGGGGGGGGGGGGGGGGGGGGGGGGGGGGGGGGTGGGGTGGGGGGGGGGAGGGGGGGGGGGTGGGGGTGGGGGGGGGGGGGGGGGGGGGGGTGGGGGGAGGGGGGGGGGGGGGGTTCCTCCAAAATACACACATAAAAATACCAATGGGGGAGTGTTTTCCCCCCCCCCCCCCCCCCCCCCCCGTACGCGCCTGAGCATGAGCATTAACAAGCCATCAAAGTGATAAGAGAGCTGCCACAACTGTTTTTTAAAGGTGCACAGAGACATGCCACAACTGTTTTCAAACTGAAACCCATGTTAGAATTTTGCATGAGTATACTATAACCTCAGCTTGAGAAAAGGTCGAAGAAATCTTTTAAAGTATGGGATGATATATTTGTATAATTAAAGTTTACTTACCACCAAAACGTTTGAAGCACTGTCTGCATCTCGCCACTTACCTCGCCACTTCAATGACAGGGGAAAATAGAGATTACGGTTTTAATAATAATTGAAATAGGAACTGAAATATGATTGAACAATGTAAAAATGATAATCAATGATAAAACTACCAAAGAAATGCATAGGGGTTCTAAAAGTACTGTCATTTGAGTAACTTTTTTGTATTACTTTGGTTTGAATATTAATCATATTTAATCACATATTTGCATATTAAAAGAAAGAATAATTAGTTTATATGAAAATAGTCTCTTAAAAATAAATTTTCACAATGACCTTTATGAAAAGATTTGAGTTAAATTTTCTTACTTCATTGCAATGAAATCTTATAACTGAACTGAGACTTTCTTTTCTAGTATATTTCATTTCTTACTAATTAATTGATACCACAAAAGAACAAACAACTTTCTCAATGAACATTATCAAAAAGAGCCAATTATTGAGAATTCATTAACAGCGATTTTTTTCCCCCTGGCTTACCAATTTACTTTTCTCTATCTCATGATCATACTTACTCAATATTAACTCCTGGCTTACACAGCACTTCTTCCTCTTCTTCATCGCTCTCATCATAAGATCGCTTCTTTCCAGCCTTCTTCAGTCCGGTATCATCCTCATCTGAGAAAAAAGATTAAAGGATAGAAAGAAAGAAAAAAAGGAAGAAAGAAATGAAGAAAGAAAGAAAGGAAGATAGAAAGGAAGATAGAAAGGAAGGAAGGAAAAGGAGAAATAGATCAATCAATATATATTTCTGGACTACACTCCAAAATTCTTTTTTATCACTCTCATCACATGATCTGTTTCTTTCCAGCCTTCTTCAGTACTGTATCATCCTCATCTGAGAAAGAAAGATTAAAGGATAGAAAGAAAGAAAGAAAGAAAAAAAAAAGATAGAAGGAAGAGAAAGGAGAAATAGATTGATCAATTTGTGTTTCTGGCTACACTCCAAAATTCTTTTTTATCACTCTCATCATATGATATTGTTTCTTTCCAGCCTTCTTCAGTACTGTATCATCCTCATCTGAAAAGAGAAAGAAAGAAAGAAAGAAAGAAAGAAAGAAGGAAGAAAAAAAAGATAGAAAGGAAGAGGATGGAGAAATAGATCAATCCATTTTTATTCCTGGACTGCACTCAAATTCTTTTTTATCACTCTCATCATAATATCGGCTTTCCAGCTTTCTTCAGTCCTGTACCGTCCTCATCTGAAAAGAAAGAAAGAAAGAAAGAAAGAAGAAAGAAAGAAGAAAGAAAAGAAAGAAAGAAAGAAAGAAAGGAAGAAAAAAAAGATAGAAAGGAAGAGGATGGAGAAATAGATCAATCCATTTTTATTCCTGGACTGCACTCAAAATTCTTTTTTATCACTCTCATCATAATTCGGCTTTCCAGCTTTCTTCAGTCCTGTATCGTCCTCATCTGAAAAAGAAAGAAAGAAAGAAAGAAAGAAAGAAAAGAAAAGGAAGAAAGAAAGAAAGGAAGAAAGAAAGTAGAAAGGAGAAATAGATTGATCAATTTGTGTTTCTGGACTACACTCCAAAATTCTTTTGTATCACTCCATCATATATGATATTGTTTCTTTCCAGCCTTCTTCAGTACTGTATCATCCTCATCTGAAAAAGAAAGAAAGAAAGAAAGAAGAAAGAAAGAAAGGAAGAAAAAAAGATAGAAAGGAAGAGGATGGAGAAATAGATCAATCCATATTTATTCCTGGACTGCATTCCAAGTTCTTTTTTTATCACTCTCATCATATATCGGCTTTCGCTAGCTCTTCAGTCCGGTATCGTCCTCATCTGAAAAAGAAAAAGGAAGAAGAAATAAATGAAGGAAGAAAGAAAGATAGAAAGGAAGGAAGGAAGGAAAAGGAGAAATAGATCATCCATTTTTATTCCTGGACTGCACTCAAAATTCTTTTTTATCACTCTCATCATAATATCGGCTTTCCAGCTTTCTTCAGTCCTGTATCGTCCTCATCTGAAAAAGAAAGAAAGAAAGAAAGAAAGAAAGAAAGAGGAAGAAGGAAGAAAAAAAGATAGAAAGGAAGAGGATGGAGAAATAGATCAATCCATTTTTATTCCTGGACTGCACTCAAAATTCTTTTTTATCACTCTCATCATAATATCGGCTTTCCAGCTTTCTTCAGTCCTGTATCGTCCTCATCTGAAAAAGAAAGAAAGAAAAGAAAGAAAGAAAGAAACGAAAGAAAGAAAGGAAGAAAGAAAAAAGGAAGAAAAAGTAGAAAGGAGAAATAGAATCAATTTGGTGTTTCTGGACTACACTCCAAAATTCTTTTGTATCACTCCCATCATATATGATATTGTTTCTTTCCAGCCTTCTTCAGTACTGTATCATCCTCATCTGAAAAAGAAAGAAAGAAATGAAGAAAGAAAGAAAGAAAGAAGAAAGGAAAAAAAGAAAGGAAGAAAGAAAGATACAAAGGAAGAGAAAGGAGAAATAGATCAGTCAATTTATATTTCTGGACTACATTCCAAATTATTCTTCATCATCATGATAATCATTCATCATTTTTTTCAGCCCTCTTCAGTCCTGTATCATCCATCATCCTCATTGGAGAAAGAAAGAAAGATTGTAGAAAAAAAGTCACAACGAAGATGAATTATTTAGGAATAAAGAGTGAGGGAGTGAGTGCGTTTGTGTGTGTGTGTTTGAGAAAGAAAGAGAGAGAGAGGGGGGGGGGGGTGTATAACCACGGAGAGATGACAAAATAGAATAGGACAAACAATTGAGGAGACAAAGTCAAAGATGGACCCCCCCCCCAAAAAAAAATAAAAAAAAATAATAAAAAAAATGAATTCAAACAAAGTGTTTCTTTGTTTCACACACAACGACTAATAACAATTTATCAAAGGAACCAGAAAGTTAGCACTGAGAAAACAAAACTGAAGAAAAAAGTGCAGACCTTTATTGTACAGTACTTTTGTAGAATAGATCTAGGCCTACTAATAAAGTGATTTACTGAAGTAACTAAAGTGGACCAACTAACCTTGTTTGTTCTCAAGAGGATCCATGCTGCTGGCATCATCTTCGAAGTCCATCTTGCTTGTACTTGCTCCTTCTACCGAAGACTTCTTCTTTCCTCCGCCTCCACTCTGCTTACGGGCATTGGCTAGAGCTCGGGGCATCGTGATGAGGGTTCTTGTCTAATCTAACTTCTAAATCTAAGATTAGAACACGGTCTAGATTCTATATGAAAAATATCAAGGAAAAGGTTGCATTTTATTTTTAGACAAGATTCTTATTTTATTGAAGTCTTTATGTTGGTTGATGAAGTTTGCTTTCTATTCCTAATTGACCCAGTCCCAGAGTCTATTTTCTAGACCCTTTACTCCTTAGGCTTTATTATATAGAACTCTTTATAGACTCAATTTTACACCTTTCAGTGTTAGTGTTACCGTCTGCACCTTCACTAGATCTAGTTTAGACACCGTCACTACTCTAGACCAAAAGGGGGGAGGGGGGGGGGGGGAAGCTTTCTGAATCCATACATAGAAAGAAATGGATATTATTTTTCGTTATTTTAATAAATAAATAAACGACTGATAAGCAAGACTAGGTAAACACCTTTATTAGACATTTTCATAGTTAATTATTTGATTGTGTTTCTTGTTATTTATTGATTTAATTCTTATAAATGCCTGATCTGCAAGACTACGTGAAAATTAGTTTTATTTAATTTTTAATCTGTTTCTATTTTGATTATTTGAATTTAAACGACTTAAAGGTACTATGTCCCTTTTGCAGCCAATCTCAAATTCTGTAGAACTTTGCAGGAATTATGAATATGTCATGTATGTCCTATCTGTGAAATTTAAACGTTAGCAGTGTCCTCATATTGAAATTGTGCAAGGAAACCCTTTTACTTGCTAGACTTCACTGTCAGACATTATTGAGTGACTGACTGGCTTTTGTCTTCTTTGGTAATAACATACATGAAAAGAGTTGTAAAGGGTACATGAGCATTTGTCTACATCAATAACCCACTTCTTGTGATGGCCAAGATTAAACTGATTGAATCTTTGCGCAGCATAAAACGTATGACCATT